AATAATTCACATTGTATGCATTTTGTTTATCCATTACTCAATTATGTTTCAGCTAGCACGTCTGGTAAAAATTTGAATAAAAAAAAAACAATTTTTTTTTTTTTGTAATATTTTATAGGTTCAAATAATTCTTCAACTTCAGTAACATCGAATACACTTCGACATTATTTAGCTTGTTCATATGTTGTTAGTCAATATCAAAGAGTTCGATCTCTTGCAGAAGAACTTTCGATTAAATTTGGAAAATCTTTAGAAGAAATTCGATTATGGATGAGATATAATGATGTAAGGGATTAGTATTATTTAGACCTATGACAGCTAGAGTCTATCGGGTATAACATTTTTAGACTCACACCCGATTGCACTCTTGATACACAATGAAAATTTTTACCAGACGTGCTAGCTGAAACATAATTGAGTAATGGATAAACAAAATGCATACAATGTGAATTATTATTATTGTTGGTTGCTATTGTTTGAATTTGTTGTGGAGAAACAATTTGATAACGATAAATTTTAATAATTACCTTTTAATACACAAAAAAAAAAAATTTTTTTAAAAACAAAAAATCTTACAGGATAAAGATCAAGCTCAAGTTTGTTAAGTTTTTTTTTCTATATATTACTTTTCGACATACAATAGGGCCATTACAACGATAATATTTTTCTATTGATGAATTATTATCAATATTACCAGGTTCACGTCTAAAAAAAAGTATATAATACATAGATAAAAAAAAAAAAGAATTTTTTTCAATGAATCTATTATCAGTTTTACGTCGAGGAAAATGTCTTTCAAGAAAAAAAACTATTCAGTTAGAATAAAGGTCCCTGTCGAATAATATAATAAAAACTGTAAGAAATTTTATTTGTGACTTACATAAGCCATTTGATATCATGTGGTTTAACAATTATAATATTTGGATAAAGGCCAACTGTAAACAAAACAATAGATTTATATTATATAACAGTGTCAGTAATAATAACTAACTTACAAAAAAATAATAATATTAATATGAATATTGTTGCTGTGATTGATGTGGTTGATGATAAAGATGGTGATGAAGGTGGTGCGCCAGATGTTGATAACGTTGATACTGATAAGTCGTTGTTGATTTTCCCATTAGGAAGAACACCAACCCATATGTTCGACTGCGATCAAACTACGACGCAGTGACGCGTAACTGCGATCGCACTGTGACCCGTAATTGCGGAAAATTGCGACGCAGCTACGCGTAACTGCGAATTTTTTACCGTAACTGCGCGCAATTGCGATATTTTTTTCGCATCTACGCGTAACTGCGTCGCAGTCGAACACATGGATTTTTTACTGCGATCAATGCGCCACAGTTACGCACAGTTACGATCAAAATTTCGCAGTTGCGCGCAACTGCGACGCAGAATTGGCTCTACGCGTAACTGCGACGCAGTTGTTAAAAAAGTGGCGACATGGGCAACGATGCCATCAGCACCAATACCACCAACAGCATTAGCAATACTACCAACAGCATTAGCAATACCATCACCAACATTATCAAAAGCAACAATATCATGTTGTCCAGTAAGTTGAACTAGATCAGGTACATTAATTGATTGACCTTCATCAGTACCAGCATCATTAATAAAAATTTGTATATTCACTATTGGTAGATAATGTTGTGAAAGAAATTGATCCTAAAGCAAAGATCATAAAAATCAATAACGAAATTTAATTTTACTTACCGTAACAAGTGATGATGATTCTAGTGACATATTAGGTGGCATCTAAAAAAAAGAAGAAATTATTGGATTGAAACGGTCAATCGTGAGAAACTAAAATAATTTGAATCAGAAAATGAAGGATGAAAATTAAAAAAACTATACACAAAGAACATGCTATATAGACAAAGACACATACAGACCAATAGTAAAGTGAAGTTTTGACTACTATTAACTACACGATTTTTCTTAAAAATTAAAGTGGTAGGTGATATTAAAAAAATTAATTTTTTCAGAAAAATTATGGTTATATTGTACTTTTTATGTATTGGCAAGTAGCGACATCTGTATCAATAGTCTATATAAGAATCAGACATTTGTTGACTTAAAGAAAAATATAGAAGTATCATTAATAGACGGTGTTTCAATTTACACACTGGAACAAAGAACAATCATTTTATTTTTATTCTTAATAGTTTTCCTTTTAAAGATTTTTCATTTGGTATAGGGATTAAACACGCTAGAAAAATTAGAACTGAATTAGAATTCAGTTCTAATTTTTCTAGTGTGTTTGACCCCATAATCACTACTTGGAAACTTAATTTACATTAATTATTTTAACCAAATCTTAGTTTTCTGTTGTTATATCTAAATATGATATTATATGACAAAGACAAAAAATTAATAAAATTAAATAAAAAGATACAGTTGAAGATCTATCATATCTACATAACTAAAGGATATATGATTCGAAGATATTAAAGTATTATTTGATATATCTAAATAATCATAACGATATTGAAGTACCATTGAATGAAGAAAAGATGATTTATGCATTAACATTATTTGAGTTAAATCACATTTATCTTTTTCATTTATATTTCTATGAAATGATTGATGAAAATCAAATATAACAAGTCTATTTAGACTTTGAATTTGTTTAAAAATATTTTCAAGTTTTGTTGATGGATTAAATGCAAGAAATATACATGATTGAAGATTAATAAAGTTATATCGATTAAATAATAAATTAATAATATATGAATAATCAAGAATTATATCATGAATTTTTAATGAAATAACTTGATCAACATGATATGTAAGATAAGAAGAAAGAAAATCAATTTGACGACGACAATTATTATGTGAAATAATAATACGAAGTGGAATCAATTGCAAAATAGATGAAATTCGTTGATTTAATGAAACAAAACTAGTAAAAATATCAAGTGCATGAAAATAATCAAATATTTCATTTGATAAATCTTCTAAATGAGTATATATATTCATTTGTGCAATCAGAATAAATAATAATAATGGTCACACAATTGGTTTAATATTATATGTAAAGAATATATGACGAGAGAATAATTGTTAAAGAATATGTTATATACTCTACAATAACAAGTCTATGATTAATATTCACGACTGGATAAAAAGAAAAGTGAAGTTACCGGTCGATTTATTTATTTTTTTTTAATATATAAAAGAAAGATATATTGATAAAAGATATGTTAATGATATCAACTCGTCTAATTATTATCTATAGTCATATTTTCTATTCTAAATATAATTTTAAAAAGGAGTAGAGAGAAAGAGACAAAAATAATTAAGCCAATGATCTCAAAGTAGACTTTAAATAAAACAAAATTTGTGTTTTATCTTGCTAATGAATGGTTATAATAATGGTGCATTGAATAGTAATTCATCATCATCACCTATTGATACTTGAGGAATGGCATAAATGGATCTAACTTAGTTGGTCTATTATCAATCAATTAGTTATTATAATATGATGTAAGCAGGTATTACAGGATTTATCTCTTTAGATACAACAAAAGTAACAGATTCAACCGGTAAAAACAATAACCATTTTCACTACACCTGGTTTCTACATTTTTCTTTTCCTTCATTTTTGAATAAAATAAAAATTATTTTATTGACTGATCCAACTATATAGTAAACAACCTGATTATAGTTAACAACCGATTGGATATTATCGATCAATTGGAGAAAATCATATTGCTGATCAAATCATACAATAAACGAAAGAAGTGATACAATTATTCTGAATTTGTAATTATCTCTCTTTACTTCTTCCTATAATTGAATCAACAATTTCCAAATGATTCTACTCAGATCGTGTCTAATTCTACTCAGTTCAATTTTACTTTTTTTAAATATATTTTAGATTATCATTTTCTGTTTTTATTCTGGATCGATGTCAACATCTACATCGAATACATGTATAACATATTTATCTTGAATTAATTCAACGTCTGTAGTACAAGCAACTGCTGTCACTACTACGAAAATATTCGCTGATAGTCGTTGAATAGCTTATGCAGAATAAGAATACAAATGGTATTAGTTCAACAGCAAATTATTACAAATGATAGCAATTCATCATGTGCATCTTTTTGAAATAAACAGAAGAATAAAAAATATTTTTAAAAGAATCGACGATGTTTTGTAAATTATTTTTGAAATCGAATAACATTTTTTTTTCTGTTTATTTTTTTATTAATATTTATAGGTATGATAGATTTATTTTTCTCTTCGTCATTTTCTTATTTTAATCTTATATGGACAAAACAGAACTGGACACTGTTTGATTCGAAGCTATTCAAACCGATCTCTGCTTTTGTTCAGCATTCTCGAATTCCTCTAAATTTCGATTCGGTTCATTTCTTATCTAAACTGATATTGTTGAGATCAATACACAGACATGTAAAGCAAGAAAAGTGAACAAAGAAAAAGATGTCTTAAGTAACAATGAAAACATATTCATATATTTTCTTACCTTTCTTTGCCAAAGCAAAGACTATGTAGATAACAGCACAATTTTTTCTTTCGAATTGTATATCCTAAAGTTGAAATGAGTCAGAAATGGATAGTAGAAAAGAGTTGTCGAATAATTTTGACGCAGTGAAAATAGTCATTATGTCACTATTTTGCAAATAAACACTCAATAGATTGATAGAATTACATGAAAGTTTGTACATGTATACTAGAGACTACGAACTATAGTTTGGTTAAAACTAAAGGCCTATACCTTCTTTCTATCACTAAAATAAAAAACGAATAATATAATTTTTCTGGATGGTCGGATAATTTTGACCGTCACTGTATGTACAAAAAATCAACTAATATTTTGTTTATAATCGTATAAAAGAAAAAACAAAAAAACTTTTTTTCTATGTCAATCAATTATAAATAAGATTTAAATATAATCCCAGTAGATATTATATTTATTATAGAAGAACTGTATCAATCTATGAATACATATTCATGATTATTGAATCAATGTTAAAATCAATATCCGTTATAATGCACTTTGGATGAAATTCATTTTCAAGAGGTCATATTTATAATAAATAAAGTAAATTACAAATATACTCTATTTATAGTATTAAATTATTCTGATAGACTAAAACTATCAAGTTACTTTTTAATGACATCAAACGCTTTCTTAATTATGTACGAAATATTTTCTACTTTAATTAGACCAATACTTTAATGTGGCGTATTCAAAGGAATAAAACTTAACTTATAGAAAAAAAAACAAAAAAAACACACTTTGAAAAAGTATTGATTTAAAAGTATTTATACTGTGGGTTTTTATTTTTTTTGATCACGTTCATAAAAAGCACATGTCGTCTAGTTTTGAGTATTTTGACATTTCTCATTCCTCTTTGTATCACCAGACCAAGTTTAACAATGAGAAAATTATCATATGTGTCAAAACTTAAATTAGGTTCAAGATAATTAAAGTCTTTCGATTGTAAAATATTTCCGCTGGAGAATATCGTATTAGAAGAAGCTAACACCTTGTAGACGTGTTAGTCTGAAATACAATTAATAAAATGTACGAACGACATAATGAAATTTTATTATATTTATTCATCTTCACAAGAAACTGCATTCGAAAGACCCATTCTTCACATTGTCTTTCTGTAGGTCTTAACATAAAATGTCTTGTACTCAATGAATATGTCTAAGTATCCATTAAAATAGCACACTAAAGATAATACACAGATTGATATAAGTGCTAGAATGGCATTTTATCGTTAAATTCCAGACATCGATATTACTCTTACGAACATGAACTGTTATTTGACAATATACAAGAAGAATATGTGAATTATCACAATCACAAGTCTAAAGAATCGCTCGTTCTGGCGTTAATGCACACTCACACCCAAACCATTAGAAAATTTTAATACACTATGTTGGAAAAATCCCAGATAGAAGATGTGTATATTTCTAACATTTGTAAATGTTCTGGAATTTTCCACGTGAAAAATGGAGACATATAAAAGATGTATATAACTATACTGCCATTTATTCTTTTTTAATTTGAAACAATCTTATCAAAGCAATATAGAATTACTGTTCTCTAATTGTTATCTATATCTTCGATCTTTAACGATGAATAAACAGAAATATTGTACAGATTCAGTGATGGTCCAACCTATAGAAATAATCGCAATGCCTGACACCAAAATAACAAGAAAAAAAATTTCTCGATGTACTAATCGTCATGATCTATTTCGAATCGGTAATTAAGATCGAACCGAACTTGCATCACTTCTTGAAAAATGATGTTGATCTGAACCGGAACTAAACTAATTTTCGAATATCCAGTGAATATAGACTAACGCATATAAAATAATGGTTTTTGAAGTATTGTACTTCTTTGGAACAATTGTCAAACACATTGAATCGAACTAGAATCAAGAAAACTTGGGTCAAAAAGGTCTGTGTCTCGAACACAATCTAAAATATTGATAATACCTTTGTTTTACCGCTGTGTTTCTAATTGAGAATCAAATGGAGTAAACATGAACACGTCTTGTCAAGGAGAATACAATCAAGAATAACAAATATGGATCCTTTTAACCGAACATATTTGAACATTAATAAACTAATTAGTAAATTCAAAAAACCAAACCTGTTATTCCCAATGATATGTCATTGGGATAGTTGTTAGTGTGACTGTGAGGTGTAGCTATAGGTCAAGTGAAAATCAAAACTCATATCTGTACGGCACTCACACCTTTTTTTATAATCATCTGTATTTCGTTTATTTTTCGGTTTTAATTGCCAATATGAATTCTTATAATTGCTGAGCGACGAAGTAAATTTATAGATAATAAAATTGAAGTTGTTCTTTGCTCGAATTTTTTTCATTACTTATATAATGATGCATCTGCTATTTAACAATGTGGCATACATAATGTTTTCCATTTTGTACTCAATAGTTTGTTTAAGTTTGTGTGAATCCATGGGAAGCGTACCACATTTACATCGACTTTCTCAGAATCGACTGAAAGTTTCAGAGTTTGTAGAGCTCGATGAACTGATAATTTTGGTAATAAGTTGTTAACTGTTTGAATAAAGACTCTGGTTGAAATAAGCAAAATACGATTTTCGAAATTTCCGGAAAACCATCGTCAAATTGAAAAGTTCTGGTTTTTGCACGAGGATTTTCTTTTTAATTTTAGTACCAAAAGAAAACATCCTATATATATTCTGATAGTCCACGTTCAGCTCTCTCGAACCACATATGAGCCAAGTTGTTCAGCTTCCAAAAGTGAAACTTTTAATGGAAGCCCAATCATTTCACTGCTACGCAAACTTTGTCTTCGAATAAAAAATCTCTTCCGAATTTGGGTGAAGGGTAGTATACTAGGTTTTGTAGAGCATCGCTCGCT